CTTGTAATGCATTCGAGAATATCCAAGTTCTAGGCCCAAGTTAGTTCCAGGCCCTGATTCACCTCTTTGAAAGACAAAGAGGTGAATCAGATCATACTTTGTGTTCTCAAGGAACATACAATATAATAAGGGATATATATATATATATATATATATATCTATCTCCAAGGTAAAAAGTCACAGTCCATAAAAAGAAGTGCAGGTAAAAACAATTAACATATAGTTGGTTTCTACAGAAGTAATACTGGTAATATTTAATATAAATAGTTTTCCAGGCTATACCCTAGAGAGTAAGATTTAGTCTGAGGTTTTTGGTCCTGAAATTTGTATTTTTTAAAGGCTTTCGAATGAATCTGATATGCAGACTATTTGGATCTGCACTAGACTCTCTCTAGTTCAACCTTCAATAATTCCTTCTGAAATATTTATTGAGCTACAATGACACTTGTGTTCTTACTCAGCTGATTATATTCCTGGGTAGCCTCACTATCTGATATGATTTATATGTTTGGTGCCTCTAAATCTCATGTTGAGATCTGATCCCCAGTGGCCTAAGGGGAGGTGTTTGGGTCATGGGGGCAGAGTCCTCATGAATCACCCCAAGGAAAGGAATGAGTCCTCTTTATGTTAGTTCACTAAAGAGCTTGTTGTGTAAAAGAGCCTGCCCCTGCCCCACCTCTCTCTCTTGCTCCTTCCATTGCCATATGACATGTCTGCTCCCTCTTTTCCTTCCACCTTGATTGGAGGTTTCCTGAAGCCCCCACCAGAAGCAGATGTTGGTGCTATGCATCTCATACAGCCTATAGAACCAGGAGCCAAGTAAACCTCTTGCTTTATAAGTTACCTAGTCTCAGGTATTCCTTGATAGCAACACAAAGTGGACTAACACACTATGTTATGAGCCATTTGTTTCTTTCTGATCTCTCACTTACTACGTTTACTGTATAGTCTTCCCAAGGTGATTCCTGTGGTTCTGAAGGCACTGGTAATTTTCTCATGTAGCTACCTTTCCAGTTAAGTTAAATTCTTGAGGTTTCAGAACACTGAACAAATTTCTTCAGTGACATCCTTTTTTTTCCCCCCTTTTTTGTGAGGCAGAGTCTCACTATGTCGTCCTCAGTAGAGAGCCGTTGTATCACACATCACAACAACCTCAAACTCTTGGGCTCAACAGATTCTCTTGCCCCAGCCTCCCAAGTAGCTGGGACTACAGGCGTCTGCCACAGCGCCTAGCTATTTTTTTGTTGCAGTTGTCATTATTGTTTAGCAAGCCTGGACTGGGTTTGAACCCACTAGCCCCAGTGTATGTGGCTAGCGCCCTAGCCGCTGAGCTACAGGTCCTGAGCCGTGACATCCTTTTTTTGTTTGAGCCCCTAGCTTCAGAGTTCCTTGACATATTCAATTCTGATTAATCTCTCCTGTACTCATCATTTACCACACACTTTTATGCCCATATCTTGAACATTGTTATTCTCCAAAAGTTGAACCTCTGAATCTCTAAAATATTAAACTTCAAAACCCTACCCTTTGATGATGGGTGCCTTGTTATCCGGCCTCTTCTTTGCTTTGTTCTTGCTACGTCTGTTCTTTAACCCATTAAGACCTCCAGGCTCTTTTACTCTGCTCTGCCATACTTCTAACATCGTTTGCTTTCTTTACCTACCCTGGATTCTGTTGTCTAGGACTTGAAGCCATCCCTTCTAGCCCCGTTGTTTCACTGAGACTGAATCCATACAACTTCTTTGTTCTGAGGTTTAGGCTTCTGGGAGTTAGAGGAGAAAAAGGTCCACAACTGTGGATTTCTATTATTAGAAATTTCCAGTGGGCTCACTTAGTGTTTCCAGCTGTACCGTTCCACTTGATGTTTGCAGACATGCACCTGGCCACTCTGAGTCTTTTGTGAAGAATACCTATTGATTAAATGCTCTTATGCATCTTTCCACCTCCACTCTTTTTTATCTGGCTCATTCCAGTCAGGCTGCAGGCCTCAGTTTAGATTCAGCCTTCCTCTTCTAGGACACTTACCCCAAACTTCCTGCCCACACTGGGTCAGGCTTCATCCTGTTCATCTTCTACCAATCTCTACTTACCTCTATTTGAACTTATCTCAATGCTATATAGTTATCAGACTGTATGTCTGTCTTTCCTTCTAAATTTTAAGCTCCTTGAGGTTAAAGTCACATGTTTTATTTATCTTTATGTCTCTAATATTTAGAATAATGTTTATTTCATAAAGGAGCACACATATCAGTGAATGAATGGTAATACCCACCATTTAAGTGAGTAGTTAGCCTGTACTTTTCATTATACAAAGTTGTGTGAAAAGTGTGAAAAGTTGACCTGTACTTTTCATTGTGAATATGCTGCCCATGATATGTGACATCTTACATGAAAAGAAGAAAATTACCTTTAGGACATGGGCAAGTCATTTTACCTCTACTTTTTCCCCTAGGCATTCTCTTTAGATATAGGATAGAACATCTAATCTTGGATCTCAGTAATGAATGTTAGTCATACAGCCAGCTAGTGATAAGAGTAAATCAAAAAATCAAGTCCTCTGAAACCTAGACCAGTGCGTGCATTTTGAAGTAATAATGATTTGTTGCCTTTTTTGGTTGTTAATGAAAGTGAAATTCACACTGCCAAATTTAAAATCAAGTCTGTTGATAAAGAAAATATAGTCATTATATACAGTAGGATATACTGAAGTCAGAGTATTAGAACAAAGTATAAACTCCTCAATTTCTTCTCTAAAATCCTGACATTCACAATGTTTTGTAAACCTAAAGATTTTTTCCTGACTTATTTGGGAGCAAAACCTCATCTGACCTGGTCTGAGATTCTTTCTAGTCAGTATTTAATGCCCAGAGTGAATATTCATAAATTCTATTGCAGAAATGTTACTGTGTTTGACTATGAGATACTGTCCCAGACCTGTAGGTGTGTCACGTAATATGCAACATATCATGTCATATTACCTTTCTAAAATCCAAAATTTCTGTATTCTGAAACACGTCTAGTCTCCAGGGACTGAAAACTGTGCATTAGTTTCACTTATTATTTTTCTGAGTCTGCAGTTAACAACATGGCAACTTAAAGAGACCGTAGGTAAATCATATAGATGTATTTTTGGCCTTCACTCACTATTTCATTTATGCCTGGAGACTTTTTATGATTAATTGAGAAAAAGGTGTTTATTTGCTCCACATCAGTCTTACCTAGTGCAGCTCAGCGACAACACAGTAATGTAGTTTTATGGGAGAAAAGTGAGTCTTACCTTCAAAGTCATCATTTCAAAGGCAGGCGTATGTGTCTCTGGGCCCCACATGATCAGAACCTGGTTGCTCTGCATAGCTAAGTAACACTTTCAGGGTCCTGATGTGCTCTTCTGTATGCTACCTAGCACTGAGCTGGGATGGGAGTATGTGTCATTACCTCTTTATAATATTATATGCAAGTATTTTCCTCTTTATGTCTCTTTTTGTATTTTTGTCCTTAACCTCTGCTATGAACATTCCTAATTTTCTTCTTGGCTTGTGTTTAGTTTTTTAGAAACTAAAATCCCTATAAACATAAAATGAGTTAAAATTTCTTGATAAAAATCAACTAACATTTCCATTTCCTCTGTGGGGTATAAAAATTTATAAGTTAAGGTTCTAGCCAGAAAGAATTTTCAAGCTTGGAGGGGAGAAATAGACAGGTTAGCTTAGTGAGGGAGAGATTATATTTTTGATTTAAGCAGGTCTGGATTTGAATCTTGGATTTTTATACTGAATAGTTTGGTGATTTCAGCAAGTTACTTTACCACTTGGAAGAAGCTCAGTTTCCCTTTCTGAAAAATAGGAATGGTAGAAAGAGTACCTGCCTTGTCAAGTCATCATGAAGATTAAATGAGATCATACACATGGAATGCTTATATACAGGCCTTGGCACATAGCAAGTCTGTGTCGTATCTGTTGTTGCTAGTCATCGTTAGCTAACATTGCAATGTGGTCTCATAGAAAAAGCCTGTTACTTTAGACCTACATTCAAATCCTAGCATCTCCATTTATGAGCTGTGTGTGACCTTGAGTGAGTTATCTTACCTCTCTAAGCATTTAATCATTTTTTTTTTAAGGCGGAGTCTCACTATGTCACCCTCGGTAGAGTGCTATGGTGTCACAGCTCACAGCAACCTCTAATTCAGGCTTAAGTGATTCTCTTGCCTCAGCATCCCAGGTCGCTGGGATTACAGGTGCCCAGCACAATGCCCAGCTATTTTGTTATTGCAGTTGTCATTGTTGTTTAGCTGGCCTGGGCTGGGTTTGAACATGCCACCCTCAGTGCATGTGGCTGGCGCCATAACCACTGTGCTCTGGGCACCCAGCCCAAGCATTTAATCATTTATAAAATAGGAAACACTATCCACCTTCTAGGGTTGTTGTGAAGATTAAATGAGATAAAGTATGTAAAGCACCTAGCCAAGTTCTTGGCATATGATAGCATCTCCTGTCTACACATATACTACACACCTACTATACTATACTGCACCTACTGTCTACACATATACAAGTAGGGGATTGAATGCCAAATCAACAGTAAGTTAAAGTGCTTTGAAAATTATAAATGCTAATGTAATATGAACTATTACTATTAGATTTGAAGCCCATATGGGGGGAAAATTCTGAAAGGAAGCTTACTAGACAAGATATATCCAAGTTGAGTGTTGAAGGGTGGACAACACTGACATCAGTAGAGGGAAGCAAGACAGCATTACTGTTACGGAGGATCATATGATCAAAATGACTTAATATAGAATAATAATGATGGCTACAATGATAAATTTGAGCATACCAAGTCTTTACTTTCTATTTTATTTATTCAATCTAGTGAGTTAAAAAATCAGATGGGAAAGCCAAAAGAGTTATCTGGGCAGTTATTGTTTTCCTATAACCCCCCCCCCAATTGTTATTTTATCATTGTTGAGAAATATGGTTTCACTTGAATTTTTCATATTACAGCAAATGGGCCAATCCTTTGCGAAGGAAAGTCCATAGAATGTTAAAGGGCTTTAAGAAACAACGAAACAAACCCAGAAAGGATGATGAAGTTTTGGGGACCGCAATGGAGGATGAGGAGGATGATGAAAAGGACCAAGAGACCAAAGGTAATTGACAATAGGATGTAACATTGAAGTGTTCTGTCTCTGATTCTTGTTAGCTTTCTCTGTCTACCATCATCTTGATTTGACTGGCACTTAATTTTTATACCACAAAAGTTTGGACCACAGGAGGGGTGCTTATCACTCAACATATTTAGGTGGTAGGAAAGTGGACAAGAAATGTGCTAAATTATTTAGGTATCACATTATTTGATATATATAGTACAGCCATTCACAGGAAGACAAAAAATGGAATTAGCCACTCTGACTCTGGGGCTACATGATAGACACCTTGTGAAATAAAAATGGCCACAGTCTCCAAAGTGTGTTAACCGTACAAGATATCCAGAAGAAGGAGCATGGATGGCTGTAGGAGTCTGATAGACCTGAGATTGAATCTTGGATCTTAGCTGTTATTTTCAGCTACATGCTTCCCAAACCTGCACAATGCAGTGTTAGAAAAGGTTGTGAGAAGGATATCAGAAACAGGTACCAGGGACTACTCGGACAGGCTAGTAGATCCCCTGGCCTTGGTCTGGGTTTTCTCCTCCTAAAATAACTGTGAAGGGACAAACGAGAATAAAACAGTTTATGAGAAAAAGGTATACCTCAGGGACTAGAGTACTGGATTAGGAGTCAGGAGACCCAAGTAATTAAGTAGTAATATTTCCATGGGCAAATAAGTTAACTTTTCAGCTCATTACTACCATCATCTGAGGTTTAAAATGTAGTTTAAATAATACATTGTGTGTGAAAATGCTTTGAAAATTGCAAAGCGTGACTCAAATTGAAGGTGTTAAGGAACAGAGAAGTAAAGGAGTGGGTTAACAGTCCACTGGATGTGGTGTCAGGAGACTCTGGCTCTAGTCCCAGCTTTTCTGTTATTTACAGTGTAAGCTCTGGCAAGTCCCTTAATTTTTCTAGGCCTCACTTCATTAGTCTTCACAATAAGTTAGAACTTATGAATAGGAAAAGTGACTTAAAAGAAACAAAAGAAAATCCTTATAGAGGGTATCTTATGTACATGAGGTCTGACAATTAGGTCGAACCCATCCTAGAAAAATAGTTTCATACCTCATTGCTAAATATCACTACAGTCACCTTTCAAGTACTCTGAGAAGCTATGCACCGAGGCCAGCACCTAGTCTATTCTTCAAAGTAATCTTAGAACTTTTTTTCTGGAGTGACCATCAGAGCTGTCATCATATGGCACACATAAAGCACGCAACAATAATGAATGCCACCCAGTGAGACACCACCACATGTCAACACAAACATGGCTGTGAGACACTGATATGCCAAGGTGATGAAACCTTATTGAATTGTTTGTGCAGTGCTGCCAATGTAAGTGGATGGTGGCAAGTTAACAAATTAGTTGTTAGACCTCATATGTTTATATAGGATATATATTATTTATTGTGGGTAATAAATAAATATATATTATAATTGTGATACATGTAGATTCTTCATACTACTGTATTACCTTGCATAAGCCTAATACAGTCCATGTGTGTATACGTGTACACATGGGCACACACACGTGTATAAATGACATAATTAGACTAACAAAACTTGGTTTCTGTGGGCCATTCTCTAAGGCATGGAAGTTAACTTTGCTATCCAGAAATTATCTCTGTAATGGTATTTATCTGTATGACTCAAAGTGACATAAGATGATAGCAAACTATACAATGATAGAAAAACATATAAGTTAATCATAGCACTCAGTATACGGAGTTTGAGAATTTTGTTACAGTCATTTCCTTTTGTAACAAAGTATGGTGCACTATTAGTCCTTTAAGTCATTTAATCCTACTTTGCTTTTCTCCCATAGCGTTATTTTCTTAATGAGATGAATGCAAACCATCCAATGCAGAGAAGCCTGTCCCAGTCATCTGAACTTGATGGAGTGTTTTAGATTAAAAAATTGGTCCATATTTTTGTTGTTTACTCTTAAATAGTAAATAAAGTTGATAGTTATGTTTTTGAGCATCAAACCAGAATCCGAATTTTTTTTTTAAATAGTTTCTATAGAATTACTACAACCATGAGTAAAGTACTGGTGGCATTTCAGGTCCCAGATAGTACTGTGGTTTTTGCAATGTGGCTTATTTTATCACCTTATACTTCCGTTGGTACTTAATAAGGCAGAGATTCCATATTATTTATCTTTCAGGAAAGGGGGGGGGAACCTCAGTGATATAGTTCACTGTATCTCATACTTGTTATTTTGAGGAAAAGAGGTTAGAATATTTTTTAGTAAGGTTGTTCTTTTTATTTTATAATTTATAATGTTATTTTTTCTGCTATTAAAATAAGACACACTCATTACAGAAAATTTGGTAAATAAGGATATGTAAGGGAAAAGAAAAAAATCAAATCATATTCCCACTATTCAGAGCTAAACACTGTTATTACTATGTTTACTTTTTAAAGAAAACAGTTGTGCTCTTTGATATACATAAGCAGATAGTGCTTATTTTTGAAAATTTACTCTTTATGATTCATTTTCTTCTTTTTAAAATGTGTGGGACTCAAGTTTACCTGGGCTGGTTACTCATTCATTCAGCACAAATTTATTGAGTCCCTGCTATGTGTCGTCTGATCTCTATATGCTAGAGACACAGTCATGAGCAAGGCAGACTTGCCCCTGCCATGATGGAGTTCACAGTCTAGCTGGAGAGGAAGCTAGGTGCAGAACTCAAGGCAGGGTTATGATAGGAGGTGTATTATGTCTATGGGAATACACAAAGGGGCACTTGGCCCAGACTGAAGGGGGAGGACACCTCATTTCCCAGGATTCAGTTATAATCTGAATTGATTGCATTTTTAAGGGAAGGAGTCTTGGTTTTTGGTGACCGGAAAAGAAACACCTTTTATCACCGAAAATTTAGGTAGATCAAGAGTTTGTAGATATAATGAATATAAAAGAGTTCTTGTCAAACAGAGGCTGGTAAAGACACTGTGCCTGGGAAATGCGCACTTGTACACGCGTGCTCTGTTGCAGGAAGTGCCCTTTGAGTTAACAAAGCCCCAAGCTCCACACTTTAAATGCTTCTGAAAGTGAGGCCCACAGCGTGTGCATTGCAAGATTTATAGCAGTAGCATCACCTTCTGAAGAAGCCACTGAAATGTTTGGCAGACACTGAACAGAAGGAGACCTATTTTGGATACCCGTTTGATTCAGGAGTCCACATTTTTCAGGGGCTCTCAGGGATACAAGTGAAAATAATGTGGTTGTTTATTCATTAATTCAACAACATGTACCAGGTACTATAGTTCTGGGGAGGCAGAAGTGAAGAAAACATACAAAAATCTCTGCCCTATGGAGTTTTTACATTCCAATAATATAGGCAAAATATTTATATGATCTGAAGAGAAACCAGAGTATGTGTTCTAATAATATAGGCAAAAAAGAAACAAATCAGTAAAAGACATAGTATGTTAGATAATGTGTGCTAAGGAGAAAACAGCCAGGAAAAGAACTGGAGTATGTGAGGGAAAGTTATAGTTTTAGACAAAGTGGCCAGAGGAGAACTCACTGAGAATTTGATATTTGAGTAAAGACCTGAGGAAGGAAGGGAGCAAGCTCTGCAGATATAATAGGGTGTATTGCACATATACAATACGTACATACACACACATATAGTATATATGTATATATGTATTACATTTAATATGCATGCAAAGAAATTTACTATAAGAAATTGGCTCATTAGATTACAAGAGGTAGATAAGTCCCAAGATGTGCAGGTCGAGTCACCAAGCTGGAGATTCAGGAGAGCTAATGATTTAGTTTCAGTCTGAGCTTAAAGGCCTGAGAACCAGAATGGATAGTGTAGTTCTTATTCAAAGGCTGGTGGGCATGAGACTCAAGAAGAGCCAATGTCTCAGTTCAAAGGTATTTAAGCAGGAGGAGTTCTTTCTTACTCAGGGGAGTGTTACACTTTTGTTCTATTCAGACCTTCAGCTGGTTGAATGAGGCCAGCTCACATGAGGGAGGACAATCTGCTTTACTCAATCTACCAATTTAAATGTTAATCTCACCCCAAAACACCCTCACAGACATACTCAGAATAATGTTTGATCAAATATCTGGGCACTGCATGGCCCAGTCAAATTGACATATAAAAGTCACCATTATAATCTCAAGTGCCTAGGACAGTATCCAGCACATTAGTTGGTGTTCAATAAAATAAAGATTGCATGATTGAATTAGAAACAAAGATGATTTGTAGGGGTCTTCATTTATTGCTGTGATGAACACGCACTTCCAAGGCAAAGTGAGATCTTACAAAAAACTCATCATGTGTACCAAATGATCGCCAGAGTTCACTAGACAAGTGGTTTCTTTTAAATCAATTCTCCAAGAACCCGATATTGCCACTCTAAATTTTAAAAGCTGTATTCAGGGGAAAACAAATGAAAAAGAGCAACACAGTAAGTTCTTTGGGTAGAAATAAGTAATAAAATAGCTAGATGAGGAAATACTTTAACATTTCAGCTGTAATCTGTGAAGGAGATAAGCATAGTCTGAGGCAGTACTTTGAAAGCAATAGAAAGGAACAGCTGCAACTATTCTCCACCAGAAGCTGAGTTGCAGGGTATTCTGACAAAGATTACTGCTCAGTGGGCAAAGAATATGAGCGTAGATTTGCAGTTGAACAATTAATGATGCAGAATAACAATGGATAAGAGACGAAAAGTTGGGGTAATTGAGAATGGTTATTATTAAAGGTTAAAAGCCAAAGGGACTCTCACAAGAGAGGGAAGGAAATGAGGTTGTGCAGAGCTCTGACTCCAACACCAGTGCTGATTGCACTAGCCAACCATGTCTGATGTGGAAGGTCAAGCCCTGTCAGAGATATATGAGTGGATTATAAGTGAGTCTTTAATGTGCAGACCTTAATGGCCACAGAGTTATTTTCCTCTAGGCATTACCATATCTGTTCCAAATGAAGACACTAGTTAAATGAGAAGCATCTCTGTTACAGAGCCTGAACTTGAATAAGAT